TGAATTTTTTTGTCGAAAATCTCTTGGTTAGGAAAAACAAAATACTGAAGATGCGTTTTTTCCGTTTTTTAGGAAAAATACTGTTTTCTACCTAACTCCGCCAAAATAAGTTGAAACTGAACGATATCTTCACATATCGTAGAGTTTAGTGATAGCTTTCTTTTGACGAAAGGATGAAGTCTCTATCTGTCAGGAAAGCCGAGATACTGCAAAAATAAAAAAGGCCTTAAACGTTTGAACAGTACTGTATATATAAAAATTAAACCGGTCCGGAAAGGGTTAAGGAACTTCACAGTAACACCATCCGCAACACCATCCGCATTTCTCAGCTCACTTATTGCCGTAAATATCTGATCTTCTGAGAGCGGAATTAGTGTAAAAACGTCATTTATTTCAATTTTTGGTTTAACCGTTGGCCCTTGTTTTGGCACAAAACATTTTGAAAAATACTCATTGAAGCTCAGCTTTTTCATTGTTTGTAGAAGCGTTTCTATTTTCAAAAAACATATTAGCCGGTAACTCGTTACCACCTTCATTAGCTCGAGAAATACCTTTCCAAAACGTCTGGGATGACTTGCATTCTGCGGCTAACTTACAAAATTGGTATCTATAAAGAATGAAACGTGGAAGTTTGTTTCTGTACACTGTTTGGATTTGAATAGCTGCTGAATCTCATCGTTTATTGTATTGTATCATAGATATATTAGTCGTTGTATTTGTCAGTTTTTGTACTCAATAGCTAATACTCATTAATTTCCACGTTCTATGACAAAATTTTGTAGTATCACCGCATCAATCAGTGTGTGTTTGAATGTAAAAAGAGCATCTGCAGGCGAACAGACTATAGGTTCGCTATCGTTGAAGGAAGTATTAAGAACAAGGGGGATCCCCGTAAGCTGTTCAAATCGCTCAATCAATCGGTAATAACTAATATTAAGCTCTCTGTCTACTAACTGCAGTCTTGCCGTTCCATCAATATGAAGTACCGCTGGAATTTTTTCTGCTTTATCAGGTCTCACTGGACAACTAAATAGCATATACTTCAGACTTTCAGAAGGACGGCCAATTTCAAACCATTCATTTGCCCTTTCTGCTAAAACACTCGGGGCAAAAGGACGAAAATCTTCTCGGTGTTTCACCTTCCGATTTAGCAAGTCTCTAGTAGCAATATGACGCGGATCGGCTAACAGAGAACGATTACCAAGGGCTCGAGGACCAAACTCCATGCGGTTCTGAAACCAACCAACTATTTTGCCATTTGCTATCATATCAGCTGCTTCTACAGCACTATCCTCGGAAATTCTTCCATTGAAACCAGATTTCTCTATCGCACAACGTATTTGTTCTGTTGAAAACTCTGGCCCAGTATAAGGATTCAATTGCAACGCAGGAGATAGTTTTATATTGGCTCTGGTATGATAAACATACAAAGCGGCACCTATTGCGGTTCCTCCATCGTGGGGCGCTGGAGGAATAAAGATAGTTTGGAATTCTCCGATTTCTTTAACCAACCAGTTAGTTACACAGTTGAGTGCTACACCTCCAGCTAAGCACAAATTGTCTGATGGGTGAAGATGATAAAGACGTTTAACTAAGGACAGCACTGCTTCATTGGTGAACGCTTGTAGAGCGGCAGCAATGTTTTGGTGATGCTCATTTATCGGATCGTCCTTTTCTCTTCTTTTGCCAAATAATGCCTCTAATTGTGTAAACTCAGGAATTCGAAAGCATAGAATATTTTTCTTCAGAATAAAACCATCATCTGTTATCTGTGTCAGTTGGGAAAAAGTTTCTTTCAGAATTTCACCTTGTCCATAAGCGGCAAGTCCCATCACCTTACATGCGTCGTACTCGGAGAAACCAAGAAACTGGCAGAGTTTTTCTCACAGAAAACCTACAGAGTGAGGATAGTGAATTTCCTGAATGATTTCAAGCTTATGCTTCGCATAAAAGCCCAACATAGTGCTTGCGTTTTCAGCAATACCATCGATAACCAAAACTGCTGCTTCTAAAATCCAGAAGGAAAAACCGCCGACGCAGCATGAGTTAAATGATGAGGAACCCAAACAAGTTTTCCTCCGCTTTGGCTCCGAAAACTTGATTCAAAGAAATTTTGACCTGGTCAAGCCCTTTTCGAAATATATCTTCGCCTTCTCGGCTTCCGCAGTCTCCGATACGACATATCGAGTCAAATTCAAAGTATTTTTCAGATGATGTCTAACGTTTTTATTGAACTGCATAGTATTTAAGAGGTAAAATAAACTATGGCATCTTTCTGAATTGCCGTATGGATTCTCCGAAAATGTCTCGGTTTTCAGTTACAATGTGTTATATCCGTGCCGAGGTGCTTGAAAATAAGAAAGATAAACTTTTATTTCATAGTTTCAACTA